TTGAGAGCTTCAAGTTCCTTAGTGTCCACATCACCAACAAACTATCATGGTCCAAACACACCAAGACAGTCGTGAAGAGGGCACGACAAAGCCTATTCCCCCTCAGGAGACTGAAAAGATTTGGTATGGGTCCTCAGATCCTCAAAAAGTTATACAGCTGCACCATCGAGAGCATCCTGACTGGTTGCATCATCGCCTGGTATGGCAACTGCTCGGCCTCCGTCCGCAAGGCACTACAGAGGGTAGTGCGTACGGCCCAGTACATCACTGGGGCCAAGCTTCCTGCCATCCAGGACCTCTATACCAGGCAGTGTCAGAGGAAGGCCCTAAATATTATCAAAGACTCCAGCCACCCTAGTCATAGACTGTTCTGTCTGCTTCCGCACGGCAAGCGGTACCGGAGCGCCAAGTCTAGGTCCAAAAGGCTTCTTAACAGCTTCTACCCCCAAGCCATAAGACTCCTGAACAGCTAATCATGGCTACCCGGACTATTTTACGCTGCTGCTACTCTGTTTATGCGTAGTCACTTTGTACACTTTAATGTACATATTACCTCAAGTACCTCGACTAACTGGTGCCCCCGCACATTGACTCTGTACCGGTAACCCCTCTATATAACCTCCATATTGTAATTTTATTTTACTGCTGCTCTTTAATTATTTGCTTTTTTTTTTATTATTCTTAAACTGCATTGTTGGTTAAGGGCTTGTTAGTAAGCATTTCACTGTAATGTCTACACCTGTTGTATTCGGCGCATGTGGCAAATAAAAGTTGATTTGATTTGATTTGATTTGGATAACCTAGAAAGCCATATGCACCACCCGTCTCAGAGTAGGAGTGCTGATCTAGGATCAGTTTTGCCTTTTATATCATAATGAATAAGATTACATGGGCAGAAGGGACCTGATCCTAGTTCAGCACTCTTACTCTGAGACACTTTATAAGTATGAGCCCTGTCCTTAAAGAGTGAGGTCATAGACATGATGATGATGACTGTGATGACCAATAGAACATAGAAGTGCCCTCTGCTGTTGAGTTTGGCTCACTTCCACCACTAATTGCTGCCCAGGAAAATATAGTGATTGCATTGACAAGCTGTGTGAGGGAACCAAGAGAGCGAAACAATACAAAATAGTCTATCAGACTTTAAATTTGATGCGAGTTTCAAACACACAGACTGATTGTTTTCCCCCACAACATTCACCAGCTCTTAAAGGACTAAACACAACCACATATGTTTAAAAAAACCTGTTTTACATTCAAAATGAGATCAAAATAGATTACAAATTAACAACATTAAATTAATTGCATTCTGTCTCAGCTATAGAATTGTATTTCTGGAACAGCATGTTTCTGCATTGAAAAACATTTATTAACAAATTGTTGTATTTGGATGCTGTTAATCTTTCCATGGTGAAATACACAACATAACTAAGAGATTTTGGACTAAGTCATCCATCAAACTCTTTTACAGTTCTCTGCTGCTGAAGTGTTTGGAGGTGTCTGTCTGGCATATTGATTGTACACCCAGTGTCATTACACAGCGTTGTGTGGACACCTGTGGGAACACTGGGAGAAGTGGTGTGGAGCTGTGTCAAGCTGAGAAACTAGTGCTGTCTTCTGTGGCTTTGTGTTGCCATGGAAAACCAGTAGAATGTCTCTTTAATGCCTTATCATTCAGCAGCTGGTGACAGAACCCATTCAAAGGGGGAGAGAGATTCCTTCAGTGCCTCTGTGTGGCTGGGCTGAGCTCAGATGTGTGTGGGAGTGAGCGTGGGTGAGCTGTGAGTGAGTCTTATGCTTCCTCCTTCCATATCTCAACCCTGCTCTTTTCTCATATGGAGAGAAAAGGCAACAGAAAGAGCACCTCAGCCAATGAAACAACACTGACTATTAATGTAACGTTTTCGACTAAAGGAGTATCCATACAGATTCACTGTAAAGGACATCGCTGACACAACCTGTCATTTGTTGCTTTGAGATTGTTATGAAAAGCGCTATATAAATGTAATAAATTATTATTATTAATGATTACTATTATTTGTAAAATGCTAAGATATTTGACACCAGTGTAACAGGTGAAGCGCCTGTTGAAATGTGAGACACAATGAGAATGTTTTCAGAGAAAAATCATTATATGTATTATATTCAAAGCTGCAACATGAATGGAAACTGGGGAAAGATTATGTTCAACCATCGCTCATCAAACCAGTATGTGCAACCAAACATAAAAAATCAGTCTACTACTTGTCATGTGATATGAGTTATTCCTGATGATCAGTCACCATGTGTTTCAGCTTCATAGTGGTGGGAAGACTTTTCAATTAACAGCTGTGCTTATGCTGCATTACCGTTGAGTGAAAAAAAACTAGTTGAGTGAAAAAAAACTGTTCTGTCTTGAGATTGCACTCCCTACATTACTTTTGAAATCCATTTATCTCTTAAAGGGGAAATTCAGATTACAGTTTTTAGACTACTTTCATCTAACATGAAGTTGTAAAATCCTGAACTTTCCCTTTAAAACTAGGGTTGATGCATTCTATGAAACACCATTCAATATCTGGTGATAGATCATGTTCTGTAATAACTGCTGTTATTATTGAATCATTCCATAATCCTAGCTCAATAACCTCACTGCTTCTACATATACATGACTAATCTTTTTCAAACACCTATCACCATATCCCTTAGTGGGAAAGGGTCAGGGTCAAGACTTGTTTTTTTTATATTACTCATGAATTATATATGGTGCTCTGAACTGCTGAAAATGATTTCCTACACAAACATTTGATATGGATTTATTGATTCACAACTGTTATTCCTTTACAATGATTTAATTCAATCTGTTCATGAAGCATGATGATAATCAGGGGTTGGAACCGGTTCAGGGAACAGAACAGAAAACCGGAAATAACAAAAACATTTGAGGAACAGAATCAGAACCGGAAAGAATGTGATCTATACTGTTCTGGAACAGAACCATAATTAAAAGCATGGGAACCCGTTAATAACGTTATTTTACGTTACAGACATTTTCTTCAGTCCCATACATAATGCAACCAGGTGGCTATGCCCTCACTCTGTCACTCAGAAACCTATTCCAGTGTCTGCCTGCCAGCTGAAAATCTTTGCCAGTGTGTGCATGAGTAGATAACCTGCCCCTCTCCCTCCGAAGCTTAGTCTACTGTAGCCTACTAACGTTACAAGCGTGATTCAGAAATTAGGGAGAGATTTTTAATTAAGATAAGAATGGATTCACTTTTTAAATGCTTGTTACAGATACTATAGTTATCACGTTTCACATTGGATTTATTAACTACAAAAAGGTAAAACGTTTATTTTAATTATGGTGCCACTCTGCACACACAAGCTTGTTAGGTAGCTAGCTAGCTAGCTCCAACTTTAAGCCAACTCTCGGAAGTTCAAAGACATTCAAAGTTACTCCATAGAAACCACTCCTCCGTAGGTATAATTCTGTGGGCCTAATTCAGATGTCATAACAATGCCCAGCGCTTCAAGCCAAGCCTCCTCATCCACCATCTCTCGCTCTCTCCCCACCTGCAAAATATCAGTCTCATCTCACGCCATACACTTGCCCGTCTATCGCGCATGTAAACAACTGTAGCCTACGCAGCAGGTAGCGCCCATGCACTATCGGCTGTCTATGCTAAAACAACTACAGCTTGCCTGCTCCATAGCAAGCTGCTCTATCCGCACTGATTGGTGAAGTAATTTAATGTCGAGCTAATGTAAAAAAAAAAGGAACAGAAATTAACGATATAAACTGGTATTTTTGGGGGGTAAGAACCAGTTAAGAACTTCATCTTGCAGGTCAGAACAGAAAGAACAAAATAATAGTTATGTTCAGAACGAAATGATTTAAATATAATGTTGGTTCCAACCCCTGATGATAATACCTGATTTAGATCAACAGTTTATATAAAACACAAATTCTGTACCCATAAACATACTGTAGGAGCAGAGGATATGACTCCATTTCTCTAAGGATAAAACTGTACTATCTGCAAATAAACTATAGTACATTGTACTGCATGCTTACTGTGTTGGAAGATCTAATTTGGAGAAAATGGTGATGCTGACCAATACGTGAAAGTAATTCCATTATTCATTATGGTGCACAACACTTAAATACTGCAAATCTAGATAACAATAAATTAATCATCAACTTAAATAATATGCCTTACAATGATTTTACATTTACATTTTAGTCATTTAGCAGACGCTCTTATCCAGAGCGACTTACAGTTAGTGAATACATATTTTTTTTATACTGGCCCCCCGTGGGAATCGAACCCACAACCCTGGCGTTGCAAACGCCATGCTCTATCAACTGAGCTACATCCCTGCCGGCCATTCCCTCCCCTACCCTGGACGACGCTGGGCCAATTGCGCGCCGCCCCATGGGTCTCCCGGTCGCGGCCGGCTGCGACAGAGCCTGGATTCGAACCAGGATCTCTAGTGGCACAGTTAGCACTGCGATGCAGTGCCTTAGACCACTGCGCCACTCGGGACTATGATCAATTAGGGTCTCTTCCTCCCTTTTAGCGATATTGTGTACACCAAAAATAATGAAATAGTAATTATACAAGCACTTGAAACAACACAGAAACAAGCATTCCAGCGGTTGAAGTGTATTCATAATGCATAATTGTACACAACCTTTATATTCAACTCAAATTAGCCCCATTTAGCATGGGAAAACACTTATCAGCTTCACATATCTTCTAGACTAGCACACTACCAGAAGTTTCACAAGGACATGCAGTGAGAGATGCAAATTTGGGTCAAAGACGATCCACACGGATTGGGACTGGAAGCAGGAAAGTGTTAAAGAGTTCACAAATTAAATGACGCGTCCCAAAATCGGGATAATACACTGCTATTTTGTGTTACATAGAAAGTTGCTCCTCCTGAAAAAAAAGGTACAGCCACAGCCATGCATCTTCATCTTCTTCTTCTCTTCATCGAGGTCAGAGGCTTCACTGTTCCGGCACAGATGTGTCATCTCTCTCTACTCCCTCTGATCCTCCTGATTCTAAAAACAGACGAAGAAGAAGTAGATTTTAGCACTGCAGATGGAATGATGAATTCATGTTGCCATTATTCACTCACACTCCATAGTGATGTTGACACCCAACAGCAGCAAGGCTATAATGACAGGTGCAAGATTGAGATTTCTCACAAAAGGTTGTGATAAGCATGATAGTACTGAAAACATACTGTAATGATTTGATTGGTTTTATTAATCCTGGTCAAAAACTTCATATGAATACCCTCCTTATAATGAATGCATTATGAATAGCTCATTTGGTGTTATAAATGAGCTTACAATGCATTATAAAGACTGTATTCATTGGAAGTGTTACCAATAAACCAAGTGAAAAGCAGAGGCTACTCCAGGAGGGAGAGATTTAGCGGGCCCATGCCTCTACGACAAGGAACATTAATTCTACTGTGTCTCAGAGGTATAAGGCACCTGGTGATAAAAATAACACTGCTACATAAAGATGCTTGGCAACCAAGAACTGGGTTGGGGGTTGGTGACGCTCAGAGAAGGCTTAAATTGGAAAGTCGTTTATTGGTTTTTCTCAAGGATGGGGCTAAACACGATTCAAGTACTGTAGAGGTGAAACAACTGGACCTGGAACATATTCTAACCCCTGTCCCATTTTTTCACACACTCAACACAAAAATGAACACCAACAAATAGAACAGACACAATAAACACTGTAAACGCACCACAATGTCCTGTCCCATTTTTTATTAAACAAAGGACAAACCAGTGAAGTGGTGGTTGCCTGTTTGCATAATATGTGCTGTAAGTAAAAAATACAAAATAAGCTGCAATGTACACTTACTGATTCCTGGAAGTATTCTCTAGGCTTCAGTCACCGACCAAAAAACTCACATTTCAGTAGCTGTTATGTATAAACAGAAACTGACAAAAAATGTACTGGAGCTCAACTATGAAAATATCAGTCAAACCACTTCAACATTTATTTGTGCAAATTGTACAGTTTTGCCCTAAATATATTTTCACCCCAAAAGGTGTTGATTAGATAGAAAAGCATGTCATTCACTTTATATTTGAACACTATCTCAGAACATCTAGATCATATTTTTCATGGTTCTGGGCACCGACACCCTCTCACACGTCTGAGTTGTGATCAACATTTCTCATTAGAATGCATCCATCTATTTCACAACATAACTAATGGAGTATTCATTAATAATCACCTCATAAAGACATTAATTGTAGATTTCAATCAGGCACTGCAGCCTTTATGGAGTGATTAAAGAATTGGACGGAGTGTGTCACATTACTTACATTGAAATAACTAATTAGGGGCCTTTAATAGACCTAGTTAATAATGTATAAATTGCTTTCAAGCAGTGTTAAATGGTGGTCCTTCATGTGTCCCTGTATTATGCATACAATGTATGAATTTGATGTTGAAAACAGATCAATAAATGCATTTAATATTGTTATGGACACAAAATGGTCGCCCTGTTGCTCTGTTAATAGTGTGCAAATCTGGATGTACAAGATGTAGGGGATGTCAGGGCCACAAGCATCAGATCCATAATTGGTTTGTCAGCCAATGTCCAAAGTGAAAGTTACTAGCTGAAAATACACTGCAATAATTTGTGTATAACTGTTACTGATGACATAGCCCTATACCAGATTAGTCCTGATAGTCCTGATGGGGATATCAAGGCTAATACCAGTCTAAACCGGTTTGGGTCTACGTGTGTGTCTCTGTGTGTGTCAGGGGACACTAGAGTCACTGACCTGTGTCCCCCTGGTTGCCATTGAGGGCCTCACCACTGCTGCTCACCTCCTCATCCCCATCCCCCTCAGGCTTGTCAGCAGGCTTAATCTTCTTCCTGGTCATGTGACCGCGGAAGCCAGCCTGGATCTTTGCAGCTGCCTTGTTGGCCTCGGGGTCGTCCAGAGGTATGTCCATGATGTCCTCCTCCTCCTGGGGTTGGCTGCATTCTTCCTATAGGAGGACAAGTATATCTGATAAGTTAGGTGATTGAGAGGGGGCTTGGTTGAGGTAATGTCGCATGAGGAGGGGCCCCAGATTAACCTCTGCCTAGGGGCCCAAAATGACTAAATCCACCTTAAGACAACACCTGTGGATATCAGGCGGTCTGTGGTTGTCAATTATAGTGAAATATCCTCCTTAATTGCATCCTCAGGGTCCTAAAGGGTCCAAGGGCTTAAGAGTCTCCAAAGCCCTTAAATCACACTGTAACTCTACGGACAGAAGCTCTATCTTTCCTGGAGTTGCCTGAACTTCTGCCATTGCTAAGCTGGAACGGGGTAACTGCTATGTAAACAATGTTTCCAAATTGCTTAAACTGACACTCAACACCATGCACAGAAAGGAAATATGTTTCTCTGCTCCTGTGGGTTTCAAAGTGATTCACGATTTCAAAAGTTGACTGTCAGTCAGACTGTCCATCAAAAGTGAGAAGAACATAAAGGGAATTCAACTTTAGATCTGTCAGACTCTCTGACACTCTCATAACACAAAGACAGCACCATTGTACACCATGTAGCTTATTACTGGCAGAATACACAAAGCTGGTTTGGTGAGTGGTGGGTAGGTGGCTGAGGTAGAAATCTCCTTATTCACAAGTGGTTACAGAACAGTGACATAGTTGTCAGCAATCATCCAAACACGTCCGCTGCATCCCACCAGTTGCTCATCCCCTCTTAACAATTTGGTGCATCGGCGACACAAGGACAGCCCACTGCACTGTAAGGAGATGTATTTGAGTGTGTCCTCAGTGAAACCCCTTAGTGTGGGAGTGTGACCACCCACTTTTACAGATAGCATTACAGCTAGCATTCATTAGCTTAGCTCTAACAGCTGAGTAGGATGCCAACATTCGCATATCTTACAGCAGCAGAAAGACAGGAGTGTTTTTAATTCCGGCGTGAGGTTTTTCTAGCTCTTCAAGGGGTTAATCTACAGTAGGCTCTAAATGTGTCATCTCAATAAACTCAAATGACTTACAATCAATGAAAAAAAGAGACATACTCATACTTTTAACAACCTATAGTCTTTACGGCTATCAATATCACTCCACCATAGATATTCATAAAGTATCAATTTAAAGCATTTCAACCAATCCATATGCAAATAATATAGGACTAATTTGGCAGAAAGTTGTTTTGTGAAAGCTGAAGCAGGTGCAGTGGACACCTGGTAGATCAGACAGCTGGAGTCTCAATGAAACAAGCAAGCCAAAAGACCATAACAAGGAAACAAATGATTTTCTGAGGGTTCCAAAAATATAAAGCTCTGTCAACACATATATAAAAGCATTTTACTAAATCCACTACCCAATTAGAATGATATAAAAAAGCTGTAATTCTGATAAAAAGCTGTAACGAAGGAATCGTTTTTTATAGTTACTTGTTAGACATTAGTTCAATACATTCCACAACACAATTAATTTCAAGCATATACTCACAATGTGGCAGTCCATGATGAGCAATCTGAGAGATGACAGTCTTCGGATGAACTGACCTAAAATGCCTTTTGCCTATACTCAGTGTTGACCGAGAAAGATTTATCTTGTGTCTCCACTAGAGACGTCTCGTTCCCGCTAACAGACACTTTATGCTCACTAGTATACGCTTGCATAGAGTGTGTGAGAGAGCGGGTGGGAGAGAGAAAGAGAGAGTGCGATACAACCTCCTGCAAGCACACAAACCATGTGGTCTCATTAAGGTTGATAACCTGCTGTGCTCCCACAGACCTACCACAGACCTACTGTACCCCTCACTCCAAAGACTTACCTGACCTCAAAGTACAGTATATGACAAAGTCAACAACTAAGGGTCTCAGACATTGCAAAAAATATTTTAAGTGATAATTGTAAGTTATGACACCGTAAAGTCCACTTTAACCCATGGTGTCTGGCCATTTGGCACATGCCACATACTGTCCCATTTGGCACATGCCACATACTGTCCCATTTGGCACATGCCACATTCTGTACCACATACATACTTCATTCACGTAACTGGAAAACCCAAGAGAAACCATGCACACAATGTACAGACATGTTCATGTAGTACTGGTTACTAAATTATTGCTCAGTTGTACACAATTAGAGAGAGAACAAAAAACCCTTTCCATCGTTCAGATCCCAGCTGCCACCAGCGCCCCCGCTCATTGCCTCTGAGACAGGGAGGAGAGGGAGAAACAGCAAACACATCCATTTGTCTGTGTTCCTGTCTGACATGACTGCCTCCCCTGTTTCATCCCATTATGTCAATATATTATCTTTCAAAAACCCATCTGGTCATGCTTCGTTTCAGCTTCGAGATAAGATCATTTCTTATGGTCTGTTGTTATCAATGTTATCAATTAGAAATGTACGATTCTCTTTGGTTTGGGTTGTGATGTGTATGTGTGTTTCTGGGACATGCAACAAGTGTATGTTTGACTTTCCCTACGGGTGAATCATTAATTGTCACCTTGTTAATCTATCAAAACCAACTTAAGGATGAGTACAGTACAAAGTGACTAAACTGCACTTTACCTACGGATAGAGATCAGTCACAATGTCCCTGGGAATATAGAAGAGCAGAAAGGTGGACAGAATCACTGGACAAGACATTTGGTATAGGTCAGAGTAGATGGCCTACATTTAAAGACGAGAAAGAGAGAGGGGATGGATATGATGCAGATAAATAAAGTTGCAAAATACAAATCTTCTAATGAATAAAAAATAACTGGTCTCCCTTTTCTCCGTTTTTTTGCCACAAGCCCACAAGCCATATGCACAAGCTATCTGCTGGTAGTTCATCATGTGCATCTCCATCTTCCAGACTTTCCCTGATAAGACCAAGAGGGGAAATGGATGGTGCAAGTTTCCATGGTAACATCCCTCTAAATCCTACTCTCCCTACCTACCAGCCTAAGACCACATCGGCCCAAAGATATCAAATGGGTTATTGGTGACAACCCAATGGGCACACATTGGTTGAATCAACATTGTTTCCATGTCATTTCAATTAAATTGTAAGTCGCTCTGGATAAGAGCGTCTGCTAAATGATGTAAATGTAAATGTTAAATTACGTTGAACCAAAGTGGAATAGACGTTGAATTGATGTCTGTGCCCAGTGGGAATAGTCCAAATCATGCAATTCACATTAGCTCAGAAATCTTGTTTAGGGCTCATTGATCGTTTAGACTGGAATTACCAAGAGCAAACAGAACTTGGCACTGAAAATTCTGATCAAATATATTAGGCTATGCACAAACAAACACACGCACTAGGGTTGGATGATGTCAAACCACCATTGGGCTATAGCAAGAAATCGCATGCTACAACTGGACGAATCATGACGAAAGATAGGCCTAATGTTGTTGAAACCCAGAGGCTAAGTGCAGGCAAATCTTTTCTAATATTCCTTTCTGGTGAAGCTTCAGCATGGAACAGGTTTGTGTGTGTCTGTGTCTGTGTGGTGCGCACATGTCGGAGCAAAGTTGACAGCTGCAACTGATGAGGAACGGGCTGTCTTGCCGTTAAGTTATAAATCATGGGCTGGATAGAAGCAAAGTCTACATTTTTCAGAACTGGATAGTAATTGTTTAATATGCCTTATCCTCCTCTCTTAATATTGTTTGTTCAATCTCTCATAAAGCTGTGATAGAGAACAGTCTATGACTAGGCCTATAGACTCCGACTTTCATTATTGTTCTTTCTGAAAGTGGCAACTTTAGGACAACACCTTCTTAGGCTATTAGAATATTTGGGAAATAAGCTACTGTTCATAACTTTAACTTGTCTTAAAGATTTTATGATAGGCCTAGTCAGAGGCTAGATTATTGCAGCTTTTTCCGCCCCCGCACGAATAATTTATTTCTTAATAAGATTAAACTTGATTAAACTTGTCATTCGATTTTTCTATAGGCTATTGATATTGTTTGTTCTCTCTCATTATTAGTCACCTGGCTACCTTGCGTTTAAAGGCTATACAAACAACTTTAAGAGATGGAACTCTGTTAGATTCATTCATTTTTTTGATCGGGAGAAAGCCATGCCATCAAAAAATGATGAGAGCGTAGCCTAGCCCAAAATCATATTCATAGCCTATCGAATGGAAAGAATAGGGAATATAACCTGTTTTTTAAAACAGCTAGACACAAGATAGTTAAGGAGTGTCTGTTATCTAAGGTGTGTCCGTGATATACACCGAGTGTAAAAAACATTAGGAACACCTGCTCTTTCCATGACATCAGCCTGGTCTCCTAGACTAGACGTAAGATAGTAAATGTATATCAGGGACAATCAAATTAGTATCATATGTTACGTTTGGTATGGTTACATAAGACAGATGGGCACTTAAGGCAAAAACAAAAGTTGGTTGGGGTGAATTGTATAACGCGAACCCAAAGGTTGCAAGTTCAAATATCATCACGGACAACTTTAGCATTAGCTAATTAGCAACTTTCCACTACTTACTCCCATTTAATAGCTACTTTGCAACTACAGTTCATTCAGAAAGTATTCAGACCCCTTGACTTTTTCCACATTTTGTTACGTTACAGCCTTATTCTAAAATTTATGAAATAGATTTTTTCTCATAAATCTACACACAACACCCCATAATGAAAAAGCGAAAACAGGTTTATAGATTTATTGCAAATGTATTCAAACTAAAAAGCAGAAATACCTTATTTACACAAGTATTCAGACCTTTTGCTATGAGACTCGAAATTGAGCTCAGGTGCATCCTATTTCCATTGATCATCCTTGAGATGTTTCTACAACTAGATTGGAGTCCACCTGTGGTAAATTCAATTGATTGGACATGATTTGGAAAGGCACACACCTGTCTATATAAGGTCCGACAGTTGACAGTGCATGTCAGAGCAAAAACCAAGCCATGAGGCCGAAGGAATTGTCCGTAGAGCTCAGAGACAGGATTGTGTCGAGGCACAGATATGGGGAAGGGTACCCAAAAATGTCTGCAGCATTGAAGGTCCAAGAACACAGTGGCCTCCATCATTCTTAAATGGAATAAGTTTGGAACCACCAAGACTCTTCCTAGAGCTGGCCGCCCGGCCAAACTGAGCAATCGGGGGAGAAGGGCCTTGGTCAGGGACGTGACCAAGAACCCGATGGTAACTCTGACAGAGCTCCAGAGTTCCTCTGTGGAGATGGGAGAACCTTCCAGAAGGGCAACCATCTCTGCAGCACTCCACTAATCAGGCCTTTATGGTAGAGTGGCGAGACGGAAGCCACTCCTCAGTAAAAGGCACATGACAGCCCGCTTGGAGTTTAACAAAAGGCACCTAAAGGCCTCAGACCATGAGAAACAAGATGAAACCAAGATTGAACTCTTTGGCCTATATGCGAAGCGTCACGTCTGGAGGAAACCTGGCACCATCCCTACGGTGAAGCATGGTGGTGGCAGCATCATGCTGTGGGGATGTTTTTCAGTGGCAGGGACTGGGAGACTAGTCAGGATCGAGGTAAAGACGAACGGCGCAAAGTACAGAGAGATCCTTGATGAAAACCTGCTCCAGAGCGCTCAGGACCTCAGACTGGGGCGAAGGTTCACCTTCCAACAGGACAACAACCCTAAGCACACAGCCAAGACAACGCAGGAGTGGCTTCGGGACAAGTCTCTGAATATCCTTGAGTGGCCCAGCAAGAGTCCGGACTTGAACCCGATCTAACATCTCTGGAGAGACCTGAAAATAGCTGTGCAGCAACGTTCCCCATCCAACCTGACAGAGCTTGAGAGGATGTGCAGAGAAGAATGGGAGAAACTCCCCAAATACATGTGTGCTAAGCTTGTAGCGTCATACCCAAGAAGACTTGAGGCTGTAATCGCTGCCAAAGGTGCTTCAACAAAGTACTGAGTAAAGGGTCTGAAAACGTATGTAAATGTGATATTTCAGTTGTTGTAAATACATTTGCAAACATTTCTAAAAACCAGTTTTTGCTTTGTCATTATGGGATATTGTGTGTAGAATGATGAGGGAAAAAACAATTCAATCATGTATAGAATAAGGCTGTAACGTAACAAAATGTGGAAAAAGTCAAGGGGTCTGAATACTTTCCGAATGCACTGTAGTTAGCACGTTAGCTAACCCTTCCCCTAACCTTAACCCTTTAACCTAACTCCTAAACGTATCCCTAATCTTAACCCTAACCCCTAACCCCTAGCCTAGCTAACGTTACCCAGCTAGCTAACGTTAGCCACCTAGCTAGAATTTGTAACATATCATACGTTTTGCAAATTCGTAACATAGAGCAGGTATTACAAATTTGTGAACATATTGTATGTTTTGCAAATTCGTAACATATAATACGAATTCTAATTCATAACATATCATACGAAATGGGTGATGGACATCCACAAATCTATACATACCATATGAAACGTAACATCATACTAATGGAGTGTCTCGGTTTTACATACAGAATAATACAAAATGCTCTGAGACCAGGTTGATGACATAGACTGACCAGGTGAATCCAGGTGAAAGCTATGATCCCTTATAGATGTCACTGTTAAATTCACTTCAATCAGTGTAGGGGAGGAGACAGGGTAAAGAATGAGTTTTAAGCCTTGAGACAATTGAGACATGGATTGTGTATGTGTGCCATTCAGAGGGTGAACGGGCAATACAAAATATTGGTAGTAGGTGCCAGGCACACCGGTTTTAGTGTGTCAAGAACTGCAACGCTGCTGGGTTTTTCACACTCAACCGTTTCCTGTGTGTGTCAAGAATGGTCCACCACCCAAAGGACATTGGGCCAGCATCCCTGTGGAACGCTTTCGACACCTTGTAGAGTCCATGCCCCGACACATTGTGGCTGTTCTGAGGGCAAAAGGGGGTGCAACTCAATATTAGGAAGGTGTTCCTAATGTTTTATACACTCAGTGTATATGTAATCATTGTCGATAGACAATACTATAATTACATCACCCAACCATAACACCCACACACAGTGATTTGTGTCTGAAAAGATTGCTACTTGAAATGTGTCAGCTTAAGATTAATGGTAGATTATGTACCTCATGATGACATTCCAAGTCCCTACATGCCATCATGAGGAAGCGGAACTATTTTGGGGGCATTTTCAATCACCTCTCTCTGGAGACCCCGAGTGGAGAGGTACAGAGCAGCGTTGTTGATCAGAGATGTCCTTGAAGGGTTTATTTTTAATACAGGCTACTTGGGACAGGAATGGGAGCAGTCTGCAAAGGACACATTTCTTTAGAGTTCATCTCTGAACCAGGTGAATAGTCTGCATTAGCTGCTACTACTAGCATACTGCCTATACTGTCTGTTAGGGAAGATGTTTCCATTAAAAGTGTGGTTATACTGTATGCCAAACTTATACGTACACTGTATAATCGAAGTGCTATATTTTGCAATAACAAAATGCCTGCTTGCTACATGGATTTGCCCAACGACAGTCAGATGTAGCTGACACACAGCTTTTCTAGGCGTTATGACCACTCCAAACTGACCTGTGTCATTATATAAAACCTGCAATGGATAAACAAAATACTGAACGATAGTGGGTAAATGACTGTACCGTACATAAAAAATCATCAGAACACTTTAACTTTACCTTGTCATAAGTCTTGTCCACGCTGTCCTTTATGTCTCCCTCTGGTATGTGCTCTGGGTTGTCATCAGCTTGCTCTGTGTCCTGAAATGGGGTAACTGTGTGCTCTTTGCCAAGTCCTTTTAGTTCAGTTTCCCTGTACTCCAATGCGTCTGTTTCCTCCTGTTGCTCAGCTGTGTCCCCTGTCTCTTTCCCAGCGTCCTCTTGCTGCAGCTCTACAGGTCTAACCTCGTTCTCCTGACCAGCTTCTCCCTGTATCGCTGAAGGATCTTGTTGATATGTGTTTGAAATGTATTTTTCCCCCATTTCCGTGTTATCATGTTTGATGTGAGGAGCATCATTCTCTTGCTTATTTTCTATCTTAGTAGAATCCTGCTGAGATATGTCTTCACCCATTTCCTTCTTATTTATATCTTTGTTCTCATAATCAGTTTCATCCTCTGGTTTCTGCTCTATTTCAGAGGCCTGCTGATTAGGAGTGCTGACGTTCACCTTACTCAGTTTCTCCTCATCCTCGTCACTTGAATCACTGGAATCAGATTTGTAATCTTGTTCCATTTCTATATCAGCAGCGTCCTGCTCCATTGCCTTTATCTGAGCTTCAGCTTCAGCAGTGACTGCCTCCGCTTCCCCTTCGATGTCAGTGTTAGGTTCAACAAGGTCTTGAGTATCATGTCCAACAAGGCCTGTTTCTTCCTCAGCATCCTCAGACACAACATCTGGTTGTTCTGCCTCAGTTTGTGAAGCCTCGACCGAACCTTCCTCTTCTGGCTGCTGTTCATACATTTTGACCTCAAGGGTTTTAGGCACCTCCTCAGTGCTGATCTGAACTAGACTTTCCTCCTTTTGTTCTTCATCATCACCTAAAACACTTTCATCATCTGACAAGATTCTGGAGGCATCATCAATGGAGGGCGCAACTTCATGCGTTTCCCCAGTATATGTTGTGGAAACAATTAGATTCTCTATTCCTTCCTCTTCTGAAACACCCCCTGAATTGTCAGTTGTTTCCTGTAGAATAGGTTCAGGGGATTCAGTTTGATGATAATGTGGTGATAATGGTCCACTGATTTCAACCATGAGCGATATTGAACTCTCCTGAGCATCAGCAAGATCTTGATCTTTGAAGCCTTCACTGAGGCCATCCTCTGCAGTGCCTTCTTCCTCGCTCTCTTTTGTCCCTCTCAGTTCTTCAGCACATACATCTACATTGGTAAGTCCAGTGAATGAGACTTCCTGAGTAAGTTCAAATTCACTACTGTGGTTCTCTTCGTTTGAGCTACCAAGAATTGCATCATCACCAGTGCTGATTTCCTGAGAAGTTTGTTCTTCTCCCTCTTCAGTCTTTCTCAGTTCTTCAGCACATACGTCTACATTTGAAAGTCCACCGAGTGAGATGTCCTCACTGGGCTCAAGTTCAGACTTGCATACCTCTTTGGCAGCTCTTTCATTCATCTCTTCGCCTGTCATGTTACCTTTATTGGATACATCACTTGTCTCGTCCTTTACTTCCTCTGTCTCACTCTGTTCTTCAGTGTCTGCATCCATATCTGTGAGTCTATTGTCTGACAGCTCTGAGGAGGGATCCATTTGCATCGAAATTACATCTTTATCTGTGATATTGTCCATTTCATATTTTCCTTGACTTTCAGTTCCCTGCACATCTTCACAGACATCAAGGTTTGAGTTTGTGGGAGATGGAATCCCAACTGGCTCAAAATTACCAGTTTCATCTTCTGTTTGAGATTCAGTCAGCTCATCCTTTTTCCTGAGAATTCATAAATAATTGTATAAATTATGGGTATAATAAAATAAGTATTCAAATGTACTGAATGTCAATGTTCTCTCTAATAATCTACCTCTCTGTCCTTATACATCCTGAGTCCTTTGACAATGGTCTCCTCATCATCTTCTGACTCAGACTGGTGTCTTACTGAGGTTGTGAACAGTGTGACTCCCTTACTCATTTCGTAAAATATCAGGGTGCTTGCAAGCTTCATAAAAATCCAGACCATTTCCAGACTTTTCCCAAAGCTAACGTATGTACCGTATTTTCCGCACTATAAGGCGCACCGGAGTATAAGCCGCAGCAGCTAAATTGAATGATATTGAATGATGTGTACATATATAAGCCGCACTGGACTATAAGCCGCAGGTGTTTTAATGTTTAATTACCATATGTAAGGGTTCATGCACAGAGGGGATTATCGGGAAAGAGACAAACTGTCTCGCTCTCGTAATGTCTGTCTGTCTTGCTCTCTTTCTGTCTCTTGTTCTGTCTCTCGTACCACTCTCGGTTCCACTTTTACTTTTGCGCGCTACCTGTCTCACTCTTTTCCGGCCTCCAGCTTTTCCTGATGGAGCCCGCCGTTTAAAGGTGGGGGCGCGGACCGGTCATAGAGCCCAAAGAGTTAAAGTTGGTGGACTGTAACCTGTAAAATCCATAGATTTAGGAGGTCTTCTAGTGGCCGTTAGCTGTAAAAATCCAAAGATTAGCCGCACCGTTATATAAGCCGCAGGGTCGAAAAATTTGAAAAAAGGCGCGGCTTATAGTCCGAAAATTATGGTACCTCAACCTTTCTCATTTGCAGCAAATACTGTGGGGAGATGACTGATGTAGCTCTTGGGAGTGATGATTTACTGTCAGTCTTTTCCTTTCAGGAATTGAGAGGCCTACAGTGCCTTGCAAAAGTATTCATCCCCCTTGGCGTTTTTCCTATTTTGTTGCATTACAACCTGTCATTTAAATTGATTTTTATTTAGATTTCATGTAATGGACATACACAAAATAGTCCAAATTGGTGAAGTGAAATGAAAAAAATTACTTATAAAAAAATTAATAAATAACGGAAAAGTGGTGTGTGCATATGTATTCACCCCCGTTGCTATGAATCCCCTAAATAAGATCTGGTGCAACCAATTACCTTCAGAAGTCACATAATTAGTTAAATAAAGCCCACCTGTGTGCAATCTAAGTGTCACATGATCTGTCACATGATCTCAGTATATATACACCTGTTCTGAAAGGCCCCAGAGTCTGCAACACCACTAAGCAAGTGGCACCACCAAGCAAGCGGCACCATGAAGACCAAGGAGCTCTCCAAACAGGTCAGGGACAAAGTTGTGGAGAAGTACAGATCAGGGTTGGGTTCTAAAAAAATATCTGAAACATTGAACATCCCACGGAGCACCATTAAATCCATTATTAAAAAATTGAAAGAATATGGCACCACAAAAAACCTGCCAAGAGAGGGCCGCCCACCAAAACTCACGGACCAGGCAAGGAGGGCATTAATCAGAGAGGCAACAAAGATACCAAAGATAACCCTGAAGGAGCTGCAAAGCTCCACAGCGGAGATTGGAGTATCTGTCCATAGGACAACTTTAAGCCGTACACTCCACAGAGCTGGGCTTTACAGAAGAGTGGCCAGAAAAAAGCCATTGCTTAAAGTAAAGAAAAAAATAAGCAAACACGTTTGGCGTTCGCCAAAAGGCATGTGGGAGACTCCCCAAACATATGGAAGAAGGTACTCTGGTCAGATGAGACTAAAATTGAGCTTTCTGGCCATCAAGGAAAACGCTATGTCTGGCGCAAACCCAACACCTCTCATCACCCCGAGAACACCATCCCCACAGTGAAGCATGGTGGTGGCAGCATCATGCTTTGGGGATGTTTTTCATCGGCAGGGACTGGGAAACTGGTCAGAATTGAAGGAATAATGGATGGCGCTAAATACAGGGAAATTCTTGAGGGAAACCTGTTTCAGTCTTCCAGAGATTTGAGACTGGGACGGAGGTTCACCTTCCAGCAGGACAATGACCCTAAGCATACTCAAGGGGTTTAAGGGGAAACATTTAAATGTCTTGGAATGGCCTAGTCAAAGCCCAGACCTCAATCCAATTGAGAATCTGTGGTATGACTTAAAGATTGCTGTACACCTGCAGAACCCATCCAACTGATGGCGTAGCAGTGCAGTCGTGTTCTTAGCTCATTGGTCACCATAGCAACATCCATCCGTAGAATGCGCTCCAGCAGGTATATCTCACTGGTCATCCCCAAAGCCAACACCTCCTTTGGCCGCCATTCCTTCCAGTTCTCTGCTGCCAATGACTGGAACGAATTGCAAAAATCTCTGAAGCTGGAGACTCTTATCTCCCTCACTAACTTTAAGCATCAGTTGTCAGAGCACCTTACCGATCACTGCACCTGTACACAGCCCATCTGAAATTAGCCCACCCAACTACCTCATCCTCATATTGTTATTTATTTTGCTCATTTGCACCCCAGTATCTCTATTTGCACATCATCTCTTGCACATCTATCATTCCAGTGTTAATACTAATTGTAATTATTTTGCACTATGGCCTATTTATTGCCTTACCTCCATAACTTGCAACATTTGCACACAGTGTATATATATATTTTCTGTTGTATTTTTGACTTTATGTTTTGTTTTACCCCATATGTAACTCTGTGTTGTTGTTTTTTATTGCACTGCTTTGCTTTATCTTGGCCAGATCGCAGTTGTAAATGAGAACTTGTTCTCAACTGGCTTACCTGGTTAAATAAAGGTTAAATAAAAAAAATAAAAAAATAAAAACTTGAAGGAGCTGGAGCAGTTTTGCCTTGAAGAATTGGCAAAAATCCCAGTGGCTAGATGTGCCAAGCTTATAGAGACATACTTCAAGAGACTTGCAGCTGTAATTGCTGCAAAAGGTAAGCAAATGGCTTTGGGGGGGTGAATAGTTATGCACGCTCAAGTTTTCAGTTTTTTTGTCTTATTTCTTGTTTGATTCACCCAAAAAATTATTTTGCATCTACAAAGTGGTAGGCATGTTGTGTAAATCAAATGATACAAACCCCCCAAAAATCTTTCGCAATACTTTCGCAAGCCACTGTAAGTGCTAAATTAAGTAACAGGGTTGACCGTAACAGGGTTGACGATTTAATCTTAAATCAGCCATAAATCCTGTTGCGACAGGGGGAAATACACTTTTTGTGTGCAACATTGAGTAGCAACTGAATGTAAGCTTTACAAAAACATTTTAATTGTTAAAACATTTCTTGCCTGTCGATCTGTGGGTAACTGGGTTGCCATGTTATGCGCGACATGCTCAGTTTAACCACAAAACACCAGAAAATGCCTGCTATTACATATGGTTACACTCATGTTTCATGTTTCTTTTGAAGAAAACACTTTTAAAGGAATGGTTTCACCATATTAAAACGAGAGTTCAGTTCATGTATCAGGGTTGACCTTAAAAGGAGGGGCAGATGTAAATGAATCATTAATCACATTAAATAAATCATAATCTTCAGAAATGACTGTCAAAGCAACACAATAACTAGGGATTTACAATTGTGGTGAAAACTTGGAGACATTTTGGGGTTAAGTGGGTTAAAACTTCCTATAAGTGACACAGGGTTGACAGAGTTTTCAAAATGCTGAATTTTGGCACTTTAGCAAGGCTTTATTCATTAAAAAAAAACGGATTTATTGAATTCTCCATGTGGTCTATATTAAAGGGAACTTCAATTAATACTGTATCACAGGCTTTTAAAATAAGATATTGGTGCACAATTTCTACTTAAAATATCAAAGGGATGCAAAAGGCACTCTTTTCGTGGAACGAACCATTGGTGTCCTGTCAGGACACCATGATGAACATATTTCCTTTCCTCATCTATATTTTCCACAAGGTTTGTGTGTGTCTTTGCTAACCAAAAGCAACTTAGGCCTACTGTACCTGTTCATTCATCATGATTTTTTGTTTTTTACTATGGCAAATACCCTTATGTTAACTGGAATAATCATTCATAATGATCAATAAAACAACACTACAATTGAGCCAAATTTATTTTCTTGGTTTCTCTTGTCCTTTTCTTTCAATTAAATTTGTGGGGAAAAAGCTGTCTGATGCTGTCCCTCCTCTAGTGTGTAGATAATGTACTGAGATGAGACTCACTCAGAAATCTTCAGAGTTGCATCAGCTGGACTGGTGTTGACTTGATTCGGTGAGTTCTGTTTTGAGCAGAATACAGACAATTTAGCATTATTTATACTGCAAGAAAATATTTAACATTCAACGCCAGTCAGTATCATATTTAGATGTACTTGCGAAGCAAAGCACAACTCTAGATTTCTTACATACTCATATTATTATTTGATTAATTTACCCAACTCAAGAGCTTAAACGACTGCCCCAAGTTGGATTGCTTCAGAAATGATCTTTGATAGCATTTATACTTTTTGAAGTATAACAATATTTAAATGAGCTCCCAATAAAAGGCCCATACACTTGAATGGTAAATAAAACTAGACCTATCTCCTCCTACACATTTAAGCTATCAACATCAAACCAATGTTGAGATGTTCAGACTGGCTCAACTTAAATTGCTTGTCAAAGGATATTTGATACTATGTATACTTTTGGAACTATAACCATTTAAAACGTGCATAACTTAACATGGGTTTGAATCAGAACCATAGGAATACAGTGGTTGCTATTCAAAATGGTCCTGCTCCTTGGTTAATTAAGCTACAATACCAACTTTAAAATGTTCAGGCAATCCTAACTTCAAATTCTCTAAAACCTTTATCAAAAGAACAAAAAAAGGATGAAAAAAAAAACCTTTATCAACTATAACTACATAAATGGGCATCAATTAGCATAAATTAGCATAATATAACTCACAAACTCTTGAACCGTTCAGCCTAGAGACACCAAACCAGCTTTCACATGTTCAGGCTATCCTAACTTTCAATTCTTAAAAACTTTTATCAACTATAACTATATAAATTTGCGTAATATATAACCCACCAACAGTAACTCCTGAACCATTCAAGCTAGAGGAGCACCAAACCAACTTTTACGTGTTCAGGCTATCCTATCCAATCAATCTATCAATTATCCAATCAATCAATACATTTTTACATTTAACTACTTTTTCAACTACAGTGGGGAAAAAAAGTATTTAGTCAGCCACATATTGTGCAAGTTCTCCCACTTAAAAAGATGAGAGAGGCCTGTAATTTTCATCATAGGTACACGTCAACTATGACAGACAAAATGAGAAAATAAATTCCAGAAAATCACATTGTAGGATTTTTAATGAATTTATTTGCAAATTATGGTGGAAAATAAGTATTTGGTCAATAACAAAAGTTTCTCAATACTTTGTTATATACCCTTTGTTGGCAATGACACAGGTCAAACGTTTTCTGTAAGTCTTCATAAGGTTTTCACACACTGTTGCTGGTATTTTGGCCCATTCCTCCATGCAGATCTCCTCTAGAGCAGTGATGTTTTGGGGCTGTCGCTGGGCAACACAGACTTTCAACTCCCTCCAAAGATTTTCTATGGGGTTGAGATCTGGAGACTGGCTAGGCCACTCCAGGACCTTGAAATGCTTCTTACGAAGCCACTCCTTCGTTGCCCGGGCGGTGTGTTTGGGATCATTGTCATGCTGAAAGACCCAGCCACGTTTCATCTTCAATGCCCTTGCTGATGGAAGGAGGTTTTCACTCAAAATCTCACGATACATGGCCCCATTCATTCTTTCCTTTACACGGATCAGTCGTCCTGGTCCCTTTGCAGAAAAACAGCCCCAAAGCATGATGTTTCCACCCCCATGCTTCACAGTAGGTATGGTGTTCTTTGGATGCAACTCAGCATTCTTTGTCCTCCATACACGACGAGTTGAGTTTTTACCAAAAAGTTCTATTTTGGTTTCATCTGACCATATTACATTCTCCCAATCCTCTTCTGGATCATCCAAATGCACTCTAGCAAACTTCAGACGGGCCTGGACATGTACTGGCTTAAGCAGGGGGATACGTCTGGCACTGCAGGATTTGAGTCCCTGGCGGCGTAGTGTGTTACTGATGGTAGGCTTTGTTACTTTGGTCCCAGCTCTCTGCAGGTCATTCACTAGGTCCCCCCGTGTGGTTCTGGGATTTTTGCTCACCGTTCTTGTGATCATTTTGACCCCACGGGGTGAGATCTTGCGTGGAGCCCCAGATCGAGGGAGATTATCAGTGGTCTTGTATGTCTTCCACTTCCTAATAATTGCTCCCACAGTTGATTTCTTCAAACCAAGCTGCTTACCTATTGTAGATTCAGTCTTCCCAGCCTGGTGCAGGTCTACAATTTTGTTTCTGGTGTCCTTTGACAGCTCTTTGGTCTTGGCCATAGTGGAGTTTGGAGTGTGACTGTTTGAGGTTGTGGACAGGTGTCTTTTATACTGATAACAAGTTCAAACAGGTGCCATTAATACAGGTAACGAGTGGAGTACAGAGGAGCCTCTTAAAGAGGAAGTTACAGGTCTGTGAGAGCCAGAAATCTTGCTTGTTTGTAGGTGACCAAATACGTATTTTCCACCATAATTTGCAAATAAATTCATTAAAAATCCTACGATGTGATTTTCTGGAATTCTTTTTCTCAATTTGTCTGTCATAGTTGACGTGTACCTATGATGAAAATTACAGGCCTCTCTCATCTTTTTAAGTGGGAAAACTTGCACAATTGGTGGCTGACTAAATACTTTTTTCCCCCACTGTATAACCAGTCACTACCATTACTACTGCAGTCACTACCACTATTATAATTTATTTCAAAACCACAAATACTTTAAAACAAGCTAGCAAGCACACCACATTTTCTTAAGGAAATGTACATTTCTAGTTTGATATAACTATTTATGATGAAAGAAAGTTGACCTTGAATGCATGATTGTTGTAGAATCTGTCCTCAAGCCTGGCACACCACTCTGCGGGGTCCAAGCCACTCTCTAAAGAGAAAATGACATAGGGTCTAATAAGTTAACATCAAAGTACAGTTTCCTTCTGACTGTCCATTAATTCTTTGTATAATACATTTAAAAAATATAGCTACCTTCTCTCTCTTTGAGAAGAGCAGTGAAGTAAAGTGCAGCAAAGGTGGGGATGTCTTTGGGCTGGTCTCGCAGGACCTCTCGAGCCAACCCCTCCAAGAGATTGCCAAACCCACGTGGAACCCGAAGGTGAGTGTTTGAGAAAGGCACAGACATCGTCCTTGGTCAAACACAGGTCTGCTAACGCGTTACTGTAATTTGGACAGTTAGAGAACATCTGCATTATTGACTTTTATGTTAATTTTAAAATGTATTTAATTTGTCAACTTTATCCTGGTAAGTAACGTTACTAACTAATGTTGTGAAATTAACGTTAGTTAGCTACGTTAGCTAACTTTCTTATATTTAATTTTTTTAGCTAATTTCTGCAGTGCAACATTGAATGCAATGCTAGCAGAAGGGTTCTGCATGGAGTAATAAAGATAACATTGAACATTACATTACCTTTAGCTAATGTTATTTTGCCTCAAACAGCTTCGCAAAACTTTTGTTTTGCATCAGCAACAGTTGACATCGGAGTGTTGATACTTGTTGCTAGGCAACAAGGCTCAATCTAACTACGGTAACGAAAGAGGTTCAAACTGAGTGAGTGCGATACTAAATGACACATGAAACCACATCATGACACCAAATAATGACTTTATTGGATGATAGTCACGGTTAATTTTTTATACAGTTATAGATACAACTTGCTACAGTAAAAAAAATGATAACAAAACAGAAGTAATATTAACATGAGTATAGTGACAGTCATTTCTCACTTGCTCTCTCTTATTCACTCTTTTATCCACTGGTTAAGAGTAAGTGATGACAGCATACTCAGAATTTGTGCTCATCTTCCTGGAGACCTCTCGGGGCTGGACATGCAGTCTGTCAGCTGAGCGGGAGGCCTGCAGGTGGGACCTAGCTTCAGGGCCAGTGCTGGGGCCATGGCCTGCCTCTTCTCTCCACCTCTGCAGGGGGACATGAAACACACAGGATTCCATTTCAGGTGAGGTTCATATAAAGTCTCAACCTGCGACTGTGGCTGCATAAGCCAATAATAGCCATTATGCAACCTCCACTGACATATTACGTTGAATAATGTCAGTAATAGGGTCACATATGGTGACATCAAATAAAATAAAATAAAATTGTATTTGCCACATGCCGAATACAACAGGTGTAGACCTTACAGTGAAATGCTTACTTACAGGCCCTTAACCAACAATGCAGTTTTAAGAATGAATACCCCAAAAGAAAAAAGAAAAATACCCCAAAATAAATAAATAAATAATAAGAAATAAAAGTAACAAATAATTAAAGAGCAGCAGTAAAATAACAATAGCGAGGCTATATACAGGGGGTACCGGTACCGAGTCAATGTGCGGGGGCACCAGTAGTCGAGGTAATTGAGGTAATATGTACATGTAGGTAGAGTTATTAAAGTGACTATGCATAGATAATAAACAGAGAGTAGCAGCAGCGTAAAAGAGGGGGTAGCCATTTGATTAGCTGTTCAGGAGTCTTATGGTGTTGATGTAAAATAATGTGGTGAGGTGTCGTAGAAGTTATAATAATAATAATAATAATAATAATAGATAATACATTTTATTTGATGAGCGCTTTCTATTTCACACATTAATCACAAAGCGATAGTTTCCAATCCTCACCTCTCTATGGTCCCCCGGAGCCAGGTAGGAGATCTGTGTGAGCTCAGGTGTGCTGGCCCCTCGCATAGTAATCATGATGTCAGCATAAGGAACCTCATGATCACTCTGGCAATCTAGGTCAAAACAGGAAATGCAATATTTTGTACAGTAGATGTTCGTATTATACACCCAGTTTAGCAACTGTAATGAATGGTACATTCCATTAGCTTACCAGCTGGAGTTGTTCTCAGTGCCACCCTCTCACAATTGGTTGAGAATGCACCTATAACATTTTAAGTAACCTATTATAATTACAAGTCACGACATTGAGTGAACTGGTTGTTTCAGCAATTTCGTAAAATTAAACAAATATTTACCTGTTGTTGTCGGCCTACCAGCACCAGATCCTTCTCTTGATGTTGTGCTGATAAAAGACCAATAAACAAATTCCACATAAGAAGTCCACATAATAATTGCCAATGAAAAGTGTGTTAAAATGGCTTAGCAAAAATGCCACATTGTATGAAAAAAAAAACATACCCTGTACAGATAACAGCAGGTTTTCCTGAAATACACAAGAAATCACGTTAATGAAATATACTGTAGTTATTAATTAATAACAACTTTGGAAAGTATTTTACAACATTATGATTCAGAAATAATTGATTTTACAACATGTATACGCACCTTTGCAATATCGATTGCGGCTCATACATAAGTAGACAGCCACAGCTGCCAACACCGCAGCCACAATTACTGTCACTGTTGCCAACACCTTGACGCCTGTGAATTTCTCTGTATTGAAGACAGCACAGAGACAATATTATCATTGAAACTCAATTTGCAACTCATCAGTCATTGCCTCAAACAGGGGGTTACTTTTGTTGTTTGCAATACATTTAAACATGTTTCATCTTTTCTTTTTAAGCAGTGGAATACCAGCATTTTGTCTCACCGTGATCTATTATTGAGTCCTCGTGGTTACCCAACGCTGTCACCGATTCATCTAAAACACAGAAAATGGTAGACATCAGGATCAAGTAAGCTAGTGAAATATGATGGGTTTATATTATGTTGTGCCTATGTCATTTAACAGCCTCAGAGCAATTGAATTAGACTATTACGGAAAACGAGACTTAGGTTGAATCTCAAATGTCACCCTATTCCCTATATAGTTAACTTATTTTGACTAGAGCCTTATAAAGTCTCAGGAACAGATTATCCTGTGAGACTTACCAGTAGTGACCGTTGTGGCCAGGGCACTAGGTCGAGCTGGTAAAAGAAAATAAAATATTATTAAAAACAATTATCCGGTAATTACTGATGTATAAATGTATTATAAAACATAATTAAGATAATTAATTTTAACACAATTTGTTTTTAGAGGTAAAATGCACATGCTGTAAGGTCATTTCAACCTGTTTTTGCCTACCTTGTGCCTGCAGTGATACCAGACCCTCCATCTTGCGTTGGAGCTGTTCGCTTTCATGATCTTCAGAAAAGCAGGTATAGTTGTACTGAAAATCTTCCGTGGACAGATGTGGAAAATACAATGGTAGTGTGCAGAGGTCACCATTCTTTGTGACATTTTTTGTTTCCCTTGGCCTAGAACAATGAGGACAGTCTGGGAGTTTGATCCAGTGGCCACGGACAAATCCAGAGGAGCAGTTGTAGGTGCAGTTCAACACTAGATGTTCTCCAACTGCTGCATGGATGACTTCATGCTGTTTCTGCAGGTCAGTACACGTTACTGAATCTGTAATGAAAAAGGCATAAATTGAGGCAACGATTCTTTAGTCAGTAGGCCTGGGATATAAATATATAGCTTGAGGACATTTGATTATCATCCTTGTGCCAGAAACCGAAAACACATCAAGTAAAAAGTAGAGGAATTTATTTTTACCTTGGTTTCCCAAAAGAAGCAGCAATGACAAGTGGGCTAAGATTAGCATCCTGTCCAAATTTGTCCAGATCCCCTATGTTTCAACTATATGAATAGGTAAACTCTCGGTATTTGCTTGATTAAAAAAGACACTTCCACCACTGGTGTCACAGTGGGTTGTGCCATCATATTACAGTATGTACCAGGTAGAAGGTACAGGAAGTGGTGTTCAACAGGATGCCTGATAAAAGTGTTCTTAACTTTCCATTCCAAACACCTGCTTTTGTAGATTTGGGTAATGGAAAGAGCCATAGGAAACATAAAAACTAAACAGCATTTTAATATGCATACTGAGATGCAATGACATTCGTGTGGTGTTTTACGGTATACCCATGTTATTTTCTTAACGTTAATGGTAATTCGTTGCTAGACATGTTTTAAAAATGTTTTCTTTGGAGTAAAGTATTCAATGTAATGCTAATGTATACATTTCACATTATATCCAATTACAGTTTTGTTGGGTACTGTCTTTACTGTATGTAGCCGTCAACACAGATATTTAAATGTAAAGTCAATTTACAATATGGTTAAATATCCACAAGTCTTTTTGTGGGCTTTAATACCACCTAACATAATATGATGAACAAATCATTACTGTAGGCCTATACTGTGACTTACAATGTCTACTTTTTGATACTAACAAATAATAGTAGGCTTTGTGTTAACGCATGCACTGCACAACTGCAGCTGGAGATATGCATAGCAATTCACCCACTGCTGGAGGTTGAGAGACAAACAGGAAACATCCTACATGCATTTTACCACAAGAAAAATAAGAATGCTTCATGTGACAAAATGTTGAATAATTATATTTTGTCGGTCTAACGTTGTTGTCTTCTGACTTAATGTATGGTACTTTGCACATATTGTAAGTTATACAGTATATACCTATGAGTGGTATTTAGGGTTGTTCTGTTGTACACAAACTCAACTCAAATCACCTATCAAAGGTACACCAGCATTATATCAGAAAGCTCAAACTGATGCATACAGTATTTTAACACTATTTTATTGAGTGTGTCGGTTACAAAATACAAAAACTCTAGACACACAACATTTGCTGCTGCATTAGGCTGATAGTAACACTCAAATGTCTATTAAAATGTTCAACCCATGACTGATTCGATCCTTTCATTTAAGTGTTGCTGTGTAGGTTGTCCTTTGGCTCTCTGTTTGTTTGTGCTGTTGGAAAGTAGGGATAGTGAAAACAAGGCTTTTCTAAGTACCAAAACAAACATTGAAAACATTGTGCCCAAGTCTCCCGGCTTGGTGTAGCAACTATTGATAAACCTATTGCAGTTTTGTCACCGCATTTGTTCCAAAGCTTGGTGAGGAAGTGGATGATTGCATGTCTGAGTCTGACCTGCGTTAATAAACAGTAATTCGTTGCTCACTTTTTCACCTCACCTTTACAATTAAGATGTGGTTCATTTTAGGTACATCCTGAGTGTTAAGGTTACCAGAGTGTCACGGTTGATATTTCACACTGTGATATCTGTTGCATACAGAACTTAATTTGATTGATTATTGGGATCAACTTTCATAAAAGGCTTTTTAGTTTTCATGTTGTTCAATCAATCCTTGATTCCCTCAAGAAGAATCAGTCCAGATCGAAAAACAGATCTTGACTGGCATAGCTTTCTTGATGCATTGCATTCACTTTGAAAGTGCAAGGTAACAGGAGAACACATTGAATACCATTATATGACTGACCAGGAGGCCTCTTGCAATCAGGTTGCATCATGGTGCACATTACACTTTCAGTGACTGAGGTCTCAGTTTCAACCTTTACACCAAACGGCCTCATACCCTTTGACTACACTGGGCAAACAGATATACAGATAAAGGGGTCATTGTGGAATGTATTTGACATTTTTTAAGAATGTATGAGTTGTGGAATGTATTTGACATTTTTTAAGAATGTATGAGTGGTGTAGTGTTGGGTCTCTTCTGTTGGGTCTCTCAGCATTATGGATCAATCCTCTACTGAAACAACCTGCCCTTGCTTCAGGTATTTTCTCAAGTTGTTTTATATACGGTAGTACTTTACATGTAATACTTCTGTTCACTAAAAAGCTTCCTCACTTGACATACAGGGTACTGTGTAATACATTGGTTATAACTTTGTAAAGAGACAAACTTATGAGTGAATTATGTTTGACCTCTTTTTTTGTCCCTGACATTCATTCATGTAGGTCTCGTGGAAGTGAATCCTGATCTGGGCCTCAGTGTTGAGCAACACCGTAGCCCATGTACTGAGGGAACCTACTTTTCAGCAGAACTCTGTGTGGAGTGTCCCTCAGGATATTTGTGAGTAACTCAATGTGTCGGCTTCCATTGTACTGTTCTCTTCATAAGACATAAGCAGATACTTCTTATTTAAGTGAAAAAAAGTCAATAAGTTAAGTAAAAGGTTAGAAAATGCTAGATGTTTTTTTTTATAGCTGTCTTGGATATGTCTGCACCAAGGAGATGCCTGGCAGAACAGTACAACCGTTACACAGGAAGAAGTAGCATTGAAGACTGCAAGGTATTATATTATATAGGGGCCGAGTGGCGCAGCGGTCTAAGGCACTGCATCTCAGTGCTAGAGGCGTCACTACAGACCCGGGTTCGATCCCGGGCTGTATCACAACCGGCCGTGATCGAGAGTCCCATATGGCGGCGCACAATTGGCCCAGCATCGTCCGGGTTAGAGGAGGGTTTGGCCGGGGTAGGCCGTCATTGTAAATAAGAATTTGTTCTTAACTGACTTGCCTAATAAAATAAAACAATGACTTTTTACTATTTATCCATCATATCTAATTTGCACCGTACTTATATTTATACTATATCTATGATATTCCTCTGTCTGCTGTAGCCCTGTCTGCCGGGTTCCATTGTGATCCAGCCATTGGGACACTAGAAGCATGCCCACCAGGACAGCGTTCTTCAGAGGGACTCCTTCAGTGCCTGCCCTGTCACTTTGGGTCTGTCTGCCCCAATGGATACACTCAAAAGGTATAGGTTGTGGTATTTTGTTTGTCACTGCAATTGAGAATCTAACCAACACTTACAGTGTATATACAATACCAGTCAAATGTTTGGACACACCTACTCATTCCAGGGTTTTTCTTTATTTGTACTATTTTCTACATTGTAGAATAATAGTGAAGACATCAAAACTATGAAATAACACATATGGAATCATGTAGTAACCAAAAAAGTGTTTAAAAAATCAACATAGATTTTAGATTCTTCAAAGTAGCCACCCTTTGCCTTGATGACATATTTGCACACTATAAAAAGTGGTTTGCGGTTGTGAAGCCAGGCAGATGTACCGCCCAATTCTCTAAAATGATGTTGGACGCGGCTTATGGTAGAGAAATTAACATTCAATTCTCTGGCAAAAGCTCTGTTGGACATTCCTACAGTCAGCATGCCAATTGCACGCTCCCTCAAAACTTGAGACATCTGTGGCATTGTCTTGTGTGACAAAACTGCACATTTTAGAGTGGCCTTTTATTGTCCCCGGCACAAGGTGCACCTGTGTAATGATCATGCTGTTTAATCAGCTTCTTGATATGCCACACCTGTCAGGTGGATGGATTATCTTGGCAAACGAGAAATGCACACTAACAGGGGATGTAAACAAATTTGTGCACAACATTTGAGAGAAATAAGCTTTTTTGGAACATTTCAGGTTTCTTTTATTTCAGCTCATGAAACATGGGACCAACACTTTACATGTTGCGTTTATATTTTTGTTCAGTATGAAGATATTCATAGTTTGATCAGTGTATTGAGATCTTTAATACACAAGGTTGAGTAGGATAATTGTGATTCTGTTTTCTTACCTCTTTAGTGTGGACCTGGAGAGGAGCCCAACCCGAGCCAGACGGAGTGCACATACTGCCCAGCAGGTCTTCTTCTCCACTCTGTGCAGTGCCCAGTGTTATCCGTGTCCAGCAAGTCACCAAGACTGTCTGTTATGGAAAAATAATGAATATATAAGTAGAAGCATAGAGTCAGGTCAGGAAAAACTCCTGGCCATGGTCAAAAGTGTATAGTGGTGCAATCCTCTGCCTTTCCCTCAATGAATTGGTTTCAATACAGACATCAGTTTAGAGATCCAGTTATTACCTCCAGATGTGGTCCCTCATTTCTAAATGAAGGGGGAACAAATTCAGATGGGGTGGAACAGGATTGAGGCAACATAGGATCACTTTGATCTGGATTAAATGTTTAGAAAAACCTCTATGTGTTATAGGAACTGTGGTACCTCGCTGGAATAGGACAGTGGCAGAGCTGGCTCAGCGGTCAAGACAGCCTGAGGAGGGAGCATCCTCAGGTCATCTCCACAGTGGGGATTCAGTAAAGCTACAATACCAACATAAATGTATAGTTGATGAATATAAAAGTTGTACCAGAGGCTGACTTAAAAAACAAAGTACACATGTAAAACATACAGTTGAAAAATGTACGTTTCCTGCTTCTTGTTTGAGCTGCAGAGATCTGCAGCGTTTGTGGTTTATGTTATCTTATGTGATGTTATGCCAATGGTATGTTTTGTGATGTTATGTATACTGTGCTATGGTATGCTATGTTTTGTTATGTCATGTCATATAATCTTATGGTATTTATATTGACTGTAAGGGATGAGTAATTGTGACACTTAAAATAATACTCTTCGTCAGGGTTTTACTGTCTGGAAGACAGCTCACGGAGACCGGGCTCCCAATTCATGTGCCCACAAGGGTATTACAGTGAGGAGGGCACAGAGACGCCCCACAGGTCACCTTGCCCTGCTGGCACTGCAGGAGAACAACTGGGCCAGACAAGTAGGACAGCCTGCCGGAGATGTTCAGAGGGACGATTCTGTCCTGCAGGTAAGGCACAGTACAAACACACTGGACTTAACTACTGGAATGGAACATTAAATATATTGCAGAAATATATCTGTATCTATTTATTACAAATATATTTGAGATTGTATTTTATTTTATAAAATGTAGTGTACTGTACCGATGTCTGAGAGTATTTTTTTTTTTAAACAGTACATAAAACGATGTTGTTGGCTGTTCTTTGAAGGGTTGTTACCATCCTTTTGTTTATGTGGCAGGCTCTGCAGGCCCTTGCTTGCCTGGAGGAAGTGATATGCCCTAG